TGAAGAAGCTTCTGGGCCTGTTTTTGTGTTTTGCGTCTTTCTACCCTTCCAGCTTTAGTTTTCATTAAACCCCCCCTCCTCGTGTCTTTACCTGTTGTTTCTCCTGCCGCTACTCCCGTGGCCGTGTCCACTTCGTCTGCTATTCCCGTAGTTGTTTCCCACGTGGAGAATGGACCCTCTAGCAGCGGGATGACAATGAAAAGAGTTGTTGTTGAGGTTCCCGAAGAAGAGAGTTTACTAAGAAAGTTGGGTCAAGCTGATGTATAGTTGAAGCTCTTGATTGGACCCGTAGAGAAGAAGAAGTTAGAAAGTCATAGCTCATTGACTTGTATGAATGCTATCGTTCATTCTTATTTGAAGGTACAGTCTTAATTATACTTCCTTTCTTTTCTCTTTATTATTCATAAATCTTCTTGCTTTTTTGCAGATCAACTTGATTGTCACAGAGCTCATGAAATGGATTTCTCAAGCAGAGTAGCAACTTGTAGACTTTCGCACCGAAGCTGACAACTGGAAAAAACAATTCGAAGGTCTAAAACTGGAGAAAGAAGTTTTGGCGGAAGAAAAGAATACTTTGAAACAACATATGAAGATGATTGCTACTGAATTAGCAGTTGAAAAAGCTTCTTCTAGCCATGTTGAAAAGGATAACGGTATACTTGAATCTTCTTTAGTTGAACAGCTTTCTAAGGCAACTGAAGACATAAGGAGTTTGAAGGAACTCCTCAATCAAAAAGTGGTTTATGCAGGAGAATCGGTTCAAACACTTACTCAAGCTCAAGAAGATCTCCGTACCTCTGCCAATAAGATTCAGTTCTTGGAAAGTTCTCTTGCTCCTTTGAAGACAACTTATGATGCCTCTGAAGCAGAAAATGAAGAGCTTAGTGTTGTGATTGACCAGTGGGAGAAGGACTATGAGTCTCTAGAGGATAAAATGTCATTGGATGTGAGCTGGGCTTTTTTAAACACCCCTCTTGAGACTCTAATGGAAGCCAACCAAGAGGGTTTTGATCTTGATGCTGAGATTGCTAAGGCTAAAGAAGCAATTGATAAAACTCAGCATCGTCTAAGCTTTTCTTCACCTGAAGATCCTGCAGGTGATGGAAATAGGCTCGTTCCTGGTGAGGCTGATGTTCATGCCTCTTCTTCTCAAGTTAATCCATCTTCTCCCGTCGATAATGCTCCTTAGTTTTTTGTTCGTTCAACTTTTTGGAAGTTTACTATTTCTTGGGAAGGTTGTTGTTTTTTATTTTTGGATACCCCTATCTTGTTTTGGGGTTTAATGTTTGGTTCCCTATCTTGTTTTGGGCTTCAATGATAAATGAATACCTCTGTTTTTTCCTAAAGTTTAATATATGTGTTTCGGTTACTTTTACAGTTTACTTTGCTCTATGATATTTGAGCTTTTTCCCTTGCATTTAAAAATGCTTTAATATTCTGGACTTTGATAAACACGGGTTTTTATAAAAGAGGGCCCTTTTAAGTAAACGACACTGATGAAGATGACGTATCATCTTCATATTGGTGTAAGTATATGAAAGACAAAATAGATAAAAAAAGGAAATGACTTGAGGACTTTTCATGCTATAAACTGTCAAATGAATTTCGTACATGATTTTATATATTATTTGTACAATACTTTCACAACAACTTTCTTTGTAGCATAGACAAAATCGAGTTTATTATCTTGTGACTAAATTTTGGCCTTTAACCTAAAAACTCGTAGGAACCTGGAACGTATCTTGTATTCTTCTTGCGAGTTCACACCTTCTCAAGATTGCTTCAAGGTTTTTGATTCAGGCTTGATTTTTGGCTCTTTTGCTTCTTTGTCTATATGTATAGTCCCTCCAGTGTTAGAGCTTTGAAATATGAAATCTCGAACACTGGATTGCTCCTTCTTTGTGGTCCATTCTGTGATGACCCAAAGGGTCATCTTTTGTTTTAGAGCCCAAATTCGGGTTCCGAGACCTTGAAAATCTCATTTTCTTTCTCCTCAATTTACGTGCACAGTCCGGGCACGTTTCCAAAAAGATTTTATATGAAATTTAAGAGAAAGATTGAATTTGGCCTTTAAAATTGATTAAAGTTGACTTCGATCAACATTTTTTGTAAACGGATCCGGACCCGTGATTTGACTGTCCCGTAGGGTCCGTAGAAAAATATGGGACTTGGGCGTATGCCCGGAATCGAATACCGAGGTCCCTAGCCCGAGAAAAGAATTTTTAAAGAAAATTATTTGCTGGAAAATATAAAGGTTTGTAGAAATTGAATAGTGTTGGAACTTGATGGTATCGGGCCCGTTTTTTTGTTCCGGAGCCTGGTATAGGCCCGTTATAATATTTATGTTATATCTGTGAAATTTGGTGAAAAACGGAAGAGATTTGATATAAATCGGACCCTTGGTTGAGAAAATAGAAATTTTGAACTATCTTGAGGAATTCATGAGTTTTGGTGTCAAATTCGTAGTTTTTTATGTTATTTTGATGATTTGATCGCACAAGCAAGTCCGTATGATGCTTTTAGACTTGCGTGCATGTTTGGTTTGGAGCCCCGAGGGCTCGGGTGAGTTTTGGATAGGCCCCAGAGTGATTAGAACTTAAGAAAACTCAGCTGTGCATCTGGTGTTTTGCACAGGCCTCTGATCTCGCAAATGCGAGATCAGGCTTCGCAAATGCGAAGTCTGCCGGCCTGGGAAATGCGATAATATTGTCACAAATGTGAAGAAGGCCTGGGAAGGCCAACCTTGAAAATGCAAAACTTTGGCCGGAATTGTGAAGGCCCTAGAAGTCGCAAATGCTACATATGTATCACAAATGCGAAGGCAGCAGTAAATTCAAACGTTCGCAATTGCGAACCCCTGATCGCAATTGTGATAACTGCAGCCTGTTTAGTGAGATTTTAGACGCGATTTTCACTTCATTCTTCAACATTTCAAAACCTAAACTCCAAAAGGCGATTTTCCTAAAGCAAGTTCTTCCCCAAATCATAGGTAAATGAATCTTAACTCTTTTTCTTCAATCTATTTCATCCTTTTTACATGATTTCACTTCAAAATCTAGGGGTTTTCATGGGAAATTGGGTGTTCTTGGGTAGAAATGAGGATTTTCGAATTTTGGGGATTTGGACCTCAATTTGAGGTCGGATTTCAAACCCAATTGCATATTTGAGTTCGTCGGTGAGTGGGTAATTTGGTTTTGGTTCGAACTTCAAGTTTTGACCAAGCAGGCCCGGGGTCGGTTTTTGAATTTTTGGGGAAAACATTGGGAAATCTATACTCATGCATTAGGATTGGTTTATTTAGCGTTTATTGATGTTATTAAGTAAATTATGACTACATTCAAGCGGATTGGAAGTGGAACCGAGAGGTAAAGCGATAATTGAGGCTTGATTTTGGTCGTAGAATCGAGGTAAGTGTTTGGTCTAACCTTAGCTTGAGGGAATAGGTGTTGTTTGTCTTATTTGCGACGTGTTAGTATTGAGTTCGACGTATAGGCTGGTGATGAGTATCTATACGTTGACGTGAGCGTGCAAGTGAGTCTTATATTGTGACCGTTATGTCTCTTATCATGTACTGTTCATGCTTAAAATGATGTTTCTCTATGTTGAGCAAGTTTTATGATATTGTTGAGTATTTGATCATTGTTGAGTATTGAACCAAGTTGAGACTTATTTCATGGAACTAACTGTTGAAACGAGATTGGTTATAGCTGATTCCCTTGCCGGGATGTTATTGTTTCTATTATTGATTCCCTTGCCGGGATGTTATTGTTTCCATTGTTGATTGCCTTGCCGGGATGTATTATTTCTATTGTTTGGGTGAGGAAGAGTGTAAAGCATGAAGGGTGATGTCGTGCACGATATTGCGAGTGAGTGTTAATGCACGAAGGGTGATGCCGTGCCGATATTATGAGTGTTAATGCACGAAGGGTGATGCCGTGCCATGATTTGAGAGCTAATGCACAAAGGGTGATGTCGTGCCACGATTATGAGAGTTAATGCACAAATGGTGATGCCGTGCCGTTTCTGTTGTTTCTTATGGTGAGAACGAGAGTAAAATCAAGAAGGGTGATGCCGTGCACGTGTTACTGTCTCATTATCCCTGTTGATACAAATATGGTGTTCATTATGCTTCTCTGTTGACTTACTGTTTGAATTTGATATTCCCCGCAGCATGTTTCCCCTTCCTATCTTTATCTGTTATTTTTTGTTATTATTGTTCTGCTCGTATATAATTTAACTGCACAGGTTTATATGGTTGTCGTGTCCTAGCCTCGTCACTACTTCGCCGAGGTTAGGCTCGACACTTACCAGTAGATGGGGTCGGTTGTACTGATACTACACTCTGCACTTTTTGTGCAGATTTCGGTGACGGACCTTGTGAGTAGATTCGAGGTTGCTGCCTTCAGTCCAGGGAGACCAAGGTAGATCTGCTGGCGTTTGTAGAGCCTGAAGTCCCTTTTCCCCTTTTTAGTTTCTTCTATCTCGAGAACAGTTGTACTTCTTTCGGACTTATGTTTGTAGTAAATCTTAGTTGTTCGTGAATTGTGACACCAGATCAGTTGGGGTAGTTATGTATTAGAATTGTTGAATTGCTATATTACTTCCTCATTTCATAATTATTTTGTTTTAGTTATTATCTGTTCCTATTTGAGTTAATAATAATGATGGTAAAACTGTAACTGTTAGCTTGCCTAGCTTTCACGAGTAGGCGCCATCACGACTCCCGAAAGTGGAAAATCCGGGTCATGACACATTTCCTGAAAAGGAAAATACACACAGGACTCAGAGATATACGTTTTAGATGATGACTTCTTAACCCTTTCTGTGCATCAGAAAAGTTGCAACCTAGACCAGGAATAATTCAGTATTCTGCGTGTCTTTCGGGTCTAATATAATCATTTGGTACGGGCTAGCTTTTTACCTATCATCTAAAGTTTTTAGTAAAATTCAAAAGAACAAAATAAAATTATATCTGAGTGATACCTGGGTACTTCATTTATCTAGAAGTAATACTTCTTCAAATGAACATCGTTCCAGTTTGATGGTAGTATGCTGCCATCCATAGTCTCCAATTCATATGCTCCCTTTCCAGTGATGCCTCGAACCCTATAAGGGCCTTCCCAATTTGGACTTAACTTTCCCGCATTAGCCGCTTTTGTTGATCGAAACACCTCAGATTCGATTTCCTGTTGTAATATCGCTCAACCATCTGTTTTTGAGCAGCCATCCTTATTATACTTCCCTCCTTTCCTCTACTAAATCCATATTCGTCTGCATTTCTTCTTCATTTGATTCCTCAGTAGCATGTGTGTATCTCGTACTTGGTTCACCTATTTCTATTGGAATTAAGGCTTCAGTGCCATAGACGAGTGAAAATGGAGTCTTGCCCGTACTTGTTTTCGCTATTGTTCGATAAGCCCATAATATCCCTGGTAACACTTCTGGCCACTTGCCATTTGATTCTTCTAGTCTCTTCTTCAAGTTATTAATAATAACTTTATTCGTTGCCTCAGCTTGTCCATTGGCTAAAGAATGGTATGGCCAGATGTAATCCGTTTAATCTGCCAACTCTGAAAGAACTCTATGATTTTCGCGCCTATGAATTGTGGGCCATTGTCACACATGATTTCCTTTGGAACTCCAAACGACAGATAATGTTTCGCCAAATAAAGTCCCTGACGTGTTTTTCTCTCACCTATTTGAAGGCTCCTGCTTCTACCCATTTTGAAAAATAATCTGGTAAGACTAATAGAAATCGTACCTTTCTTTAGCTTGAGGTAATGAACCTATGATATCTATGCCCCACTTCATGAAAGGCTATGGCGAGATAACTGAATATAACAATTTTGCTGGGCGATGCATGTTATTGGCATATCGTTGATATTTATCGCACTTGGCTACAAGTTTTCTGCTTCCTCCTCCTTTTTAATATCCCGATCTTATTAAAGTCTTCACCAAAGATCTTCCCCCATCATGATTACCGCAATGCCCCTAATGTACTTCCCTCATCACATATTCTATTTGTGAGGGACCAAGACACCGTGCCAAAGGTCCACCGAACATCTTTCGGTATAAGTTTCCACGAATTAAGCAATATCGGGCGGCTTTTTGGCAAAGTACTTGTGACTTCTTCTTGTCTTCGTGTAAGATTCCATACTGCAAAAAATTAACAAACTCGTTCCTCCAATCCCAAGTTAAATTGTTAAAATTTACCTCGTTCTTATCTTGATCGAGTGCCGATGAAACAAATGTATTACAATAGCATTTTCTGCATTTGTTACTCTGTAAAGGACGCGAGATTGGCCAGCGCATCTGCCTCTGCATTCTCCTCCATGGGCATTTGAACAGTTTTCCACGATTGAAATTGTTTGACTAGTTCCAATATCTTTTCCAGATATTATTGCATTCGTGCCTCTCTTGCTATGTAAGTCCCCTGCATTTGGTTAACAACTAGCTGCGACTCACGTTTGATTACCATCTGTTCTATGCCAAGCTCTCGTGTTAGTTCCAGACCTGCAACCACAGCTTCGTACTCTGCTTCATTGTAGTGATGGGATAACATTTTATTGCCCGCCTTATGACTTCCACTAAAGGCGGAATCAAAACAATACCGACGCCCGTGCCTTTAACATTCGAGGAAACATCAGTAAATAAAATCCAAGTCCCCGGACTAGATCCGGTAAATACCTGTAATTTCTTTTCTGCTTGAAGAATTAAATTTGTGCTAAAATCTGCTACGAAATCTGCTAAAATTTGAGATTTTATTGCGGTTTTGGGCAGATATATAATATCATACTCACTGAGTTCTATTACCCACTTAGCTAACCTACAAGACAATTCTTGTTTATGAAATATATTCCTTAGGGAGAAAGCAGTTATTACAGAGATAGGATGACATTGAAATAAGGTCTCAACTTTCTAGATGCCATAATTAATGCTAAAGCAAGCTTTTCTAGATGAGGATATCGTGTCTCGGCATCTAACAAAGATTTACTAACATAATATATCGGAGATTGTTTACCTTTATCCTCTCGTACCAGCACCGCACTTACCGCCACTTCTGACACAACAAGGTAAATAAGACACCTTTCTTCGTTTTTTGGTTTGGCCAGCAAAGGCAAATTTGAAAAATACAATTTTAAGTCCTTGAGGGCTTGTTGGCATTCATCAGTCCACTCAAATTGATTCTGGTTTTTCAATACTGAAAAGAATTTAAAACTTTTTTCTGATGACTTTGAAATAAATCTCCCCAGGGCTACTATTCTTCCTGTTAATCTCTGCAATTCTTTTTTGCTTGTGAGTATATCCGGTATTTCCTCAATAGCTTTGATTTGTGCAGGATTTACTTCAGTTCCCTTATTAAAAATAAGAACCTAAAAACTTACGTGAAGCTACGCCAAAACCACATTTTTCTGGATTTAGCTTCATATTGTATTTGTGGAGAATCTGAAAAGTGTCTGACAAATGTTGAAAATAATCTCCCACCTATGTTGGCTTGACTAGCATATCATCAATATAGACTTCCATAGTCTTTCCCATATGTTCTTGAAACATTTTAGTTACCAATCTTTGGTACATGGGCCCCACGTTTTTTAGACCAAAGGGTATGACTTTGTAATAATAATTCCCCCTGTCTGTGACAAACGAAGTTTTCTCTTCATCAGTAAGATCCATCTTTATCTAGTTATATCGTGATTATGCATCTAAAAAACTTAATAGCTCATGTCCTGTGGTAAAATCAATTAGTTGATCTATATGTGGCAAAGGGAATAAATCTTTTGAACAACCTTTATTTAAATAAGTATAATGTGCACAAACCCGCCATTTCCCATTCTTTTTCGGAACTACCAAAGTATTAGCTAGCCAGTTAGGATACTTTACCTCTCGTATTGACCCAATTTTTAAAAGCTTTTGTACCTCCTCTTGGATTACTTGATTTTTGAAGGATCCCTACTTTCTCTTCTTCTGCTTGATAGGCGGATATGATGGGTCCTCATTTAGTTTGTGGGTCATCACCTCCGGTGGTATACCTGTCATATCCGAATGCGACCAAGCAAAGCAATCCGCGTTAGCTTTTAAAAATTCAATTAACTTACCTTTCATTTCTGTGCTCAGGTTTGCTCTGATGTAAACTTTTATGTCTGGCCAGTGTATAAACAACACCACCGCTTCGAGTTCTTCAGCAGTTGTTTTAATGTATTCATTTTCTACTGACTCTTGAATAACATCGAGTCTTGAATCAACATCAGTTAGTGCTGGAATGCCTTCAATTGCGGTTTGTATCATAATATCCTCAACTGAATTCTGTAACTGCTATTTTTTGCCTGCAACATCATTTAACGTGCTAGTAGCCCCCACTGAATTGATACTTCTAGAAGCTTGTTGATCTCGACGGATTTTACGAATCCCCCACTGTGAGGGAAATTTGATAACCTGATGCAATGTGGACTGTAAAACATCCATATCGTAAATCCATGGTCTTCCTAGGATTATTTATAAGCCATAACTGCATCTATCACCTAAACTTTGTATCCTTGATAACCCCTTCTACAAACATAGCAAGCGCTACTTCCCCTTTTGTGATAACATTTGAATTATCAAGTCCAGACAAAGACCGTGCCTTTGGTATCATTTTGTCGTTAGCTTGCATTTCATCCATCACTCTTAGAAAAATGATATTTACGGAACTACCTGGGTCAATCAAAACTCGTTTTATGTTAGTATCATGTACAAGTAAAGATATTACCAGTGTGTCATTGTGAGGAATCATTAAGCCGTCAGCATCCTCGTTATCAAATGTTATATTGTCGTTTTCCAAGGTTTGGCGTATTCGCTTCCCATGAGTGATTGTGACTTTTGACGTCTTCTTTGCAGCTGTATAAGTCACACCATTACCTTCGTCTCCCCCGGTTATTACATTAACTTTCTTTTTGGAGATGGGGGTTCTTGTTAGTTTTTCATATATGAATATCTACGCTTCTCGCTGAACAGGTCAGTTAGATAACCTTGCTTCAACAAATGCTCGACCTCTCCTTGTAATAACTTGTCAATCCATTCGTTTATGGT